GAGAACGGGGTCATAAAGCCCAGGTTCCCCAAAAGCTGAGATCAGGGCATGCACTGTGTGAGTACTGCCTCAGCATGGCTGCGGCCATGGAGCCAAAAAGCTCCCTTTTCCTGAAGAGGAAAGGCTGGGAGCAGAGAGATCCCAAACACAGTGTGCTACAAACTGTCAGGAGGTGGCTCCCTGGGCTCTGTGCATCCACACCATTCCCACCTAAACAGTTAATTATCCCTGCTTTCTTTTGTCACATGACTAACGCCATGGAAATAATGAGCATTTTGGACAAAATAACATACTTATCTTTAATAGAGGGTTATACAACAAATATTAATTAACTAAGAATGTAATGTAAATTTATTTACCTTTTATAGCAGAACAACTCACAAAGAGCTCCCAGCAATTCTCTCAGTTAAAAATACTATTCAAAGCTGCAAAAAGGACAGGCTTCTGATGAAAAATCTTGTTCTGCTTTCTAACAGGAATTCAAAGTGATATCAAAATTTCCAAAAAAATCAAGAAGCTGAGGCTTGCTGTGATATACAGGGATTTGGAACTTCTTTTCCACTTGAAGTTAACGAGATGTCTGCCACAAAGATCACAAAATCACAGAATTGTCACAGTTGGAAGGGACCTCTAGAGATCATCCAGTCCAACTCCCCGGCTAAAGCAGGATCGCCCAGAGCACATTACTCAGGACTGCATCCAGGTGGGTTCTGATTATCTCCAGAGAAGGGGACTCCGCACCCTCCCTGGGCAACCTGTTCTAGTGCTCCATCACCCTCACTGTAAAGAAGTTTTTTCTCCTTGGGAGTAAGACTGGAGGATCTGGCAAAGTTTTTGGGTATTCCTGACTGCATATTAGGAGCTTGAAGTTTTGGGTTGGGGTTGTTTTTTAAATGTAAGAATTGTCTCACTCCCTTGGATAAATACAATTTGCAACTCACTTTATGAATGTGCTAGAGCCTTTGCAGCCTTTACAATCTGTCATATAAACCCATATTCAAGTGTCAATGTGTGAAGGGGCTGCTTTAGAGGTCCTCTGGGTAAAATAATGAATGGAATTTCTAGAGGAAATGCTCTCAAAGATCAATAATGTGTCTACTTAACCAGTTATTTTAGAAGTAATATGTTGATGGTAAGAGTTCCTAGACTGAATTAAACAGTTTTTCTTCTTCCTACCTGTAACTCACAACTACCAGAGTTTGGAGTTTTGATGGGAGAACTTGCTGAAAATAAACTATTGAAATTGAGCCTCAGATCCAGGTATGACAACATCAACCTCCTTGTACCTCCCAAGCTTCTTAACTTCAATGGCAATTTTGCATATGCACAGAAAGCAACCTCAAGTAGCTACAGGAGGGATTAATAATAATATTTCTGAGATAATTTCTATGACCACCATCATTATGCTATTGTTGAACCCATTTCTTCTATATCTCGTTTTCCTTCCCTTTCATCCTCTGAAAAGCCAGTTTTCTTTCTTGTATTGTTTCATTAAAAAAAAAACACACCTGGACAGGTGTGTAAGAGTAGTGCATAAGGTGTGAGTGGTTTAGAAACCATTTTAGATAGTGGTTGTTTAGCCTTATTCTCCTTTGTCACACCAGTTGTGCACTGCTCAAGTTTTCTCCTTTTTAGATGAGAGAATTTATGTAGCCCATAAAAATTTACTGGAAAGAGGGCATTTTTAATGCCTAATCTGGCACCCTTTACTTATGCAAATTTAATCAGTGGACAAATGCTCTTCCTGCAGCAGCTGCACTAATACAAACAACATCAAAGACTTTGTCAAAGTTGCTTTGAAACAACTCTGGGATCACTGAAATGCAAGGACTGGCCTCCAGCTTCAAATCACCAGCCATTCACTCACATAACATTTTCAGAATTGGGTCCTTTCTCTCCTCAAATTAAAGCCAACCACATAACTTGGGAACAGCTGAGCAGAGCTAGTTGAGTGGGCTGAGCACAGTCAATCCTAACAAATTACAATAAGAAATGTATCATGCTGCCTGCTGTCAGGTATAATTTATATCATACCAGAGGGGTGACTGGAGAGCAGGTATAGGCAGGAACTGGTCATACCTATACTTGCTCCTGCTGGGCCTGATCTGGCAAGCTGCTGGGAGCTCTTCCCTCCCACTGAAGTCAATGTGAGTAAGTTTGTTCAGAACTAACAAGATTTGGCCTCCTCAAAATACTATAGAAGGATAAACATTATTTTTTTTTTTTTTTCTGTTTTCCATTAGTATGTGTTATCTCTGTGCATGCATTTATACACACACTCACAATCGATATGTGTCCTTAAACATACATATACAGTAGATACTATATGTTAAAGCCTACTTAGGATTTTGAAGCATAGAGAAAGAAGTAGAGGTCTTAACACAAACAAGAAGCTTTTTCCCATAGCTTGCAAGTTTAGTGAGTGCAAACTGTATTTTATGTGGCTGGGTCTAAGACTTAGTAAAGTATTTCAGCATATGCTTACTTTTTTTGCTGGAATACAATCCACAAATTTGTTTCATTTCTTAGATTTGAAGCTTTTAAGCTCATACTTATACCAAGAGTTTAATATGCTGTTCAAAATAATACAGAAAGCTCTGCACACAGATGAGTGATGACCATGCCTCTGTATATTGCCATGCACATTATCTCCAAGCACAAGCTAACAGTGCTCTGGCATTATTTCCAGATGTCTTGCTCAGAAAAGCTATCTCTTTCTTCCTGCACCTATAAAAGACCCAGGATTTCCTCTGTCAGCCAGGCCACTGCAAAGATGGTCTGTACTGCATGGAAGATACACACAAGGACAGTGAAGCATCATCAGGAGCTCCAACCATCCTCACTGAAATAACTGCAAGTACTTTGCCTTAACCAGGAATCAGAGCAGGCCAGACTCAGTGTGTTTTTGGGGGGGTAACCAACCAAGTCTGCTATGCAGCACTGCAGAAAAGCAAATATGAAAAATGAAAAAAATATGAAGGTGTACCCTCCATCCAGCTTCACAATATATGTAGCAACCTGTCCTGCTTGGGATGCTGGTGAAAGGTTATCTTTTGCTGTAAAAATATACATGCTTACTATTCAGTCTTTCTGATGTACAGGTCTTGTCCTGTAAATGATTACTCCAGTGAGAACTGAAGTTTCAGCAGCTGAAAAAGCATTCAAGCCTCCTGAGATAACACAGCAATACAAATGTAAGACAATACACAGCAAAACATCAGGCTGCACATGAGTTCCAATCAGTCACAGTTTTGTACTTGTAGCATAAACAAAGTCCAAAACATGAGGAAAGGCACTTTCATTATTTAGCAAACAGGGAAAAAAAAAAAAGCTTTAGATCAGTAGTCTCTTCTCTTTAAATAAAATCTGTGAATTTATTTATATTCTCACTAAGGTTCCATAATTGAAGTTTTTATTAAATAAGTCTGACATGGGACATATTTTTAAAAATGTGTTAGCAGTGATATTTTAAAATGTGGAAACAGATGTGCTACTCCATTACAACTGCTGAATTTTGTCTGTATTTTTTTATACTATGAAGCGTTTGTCTGCTTCCCTGCTATAAATCTCTCTCCACTGAAAAGCTTTCTCTATGATTGAAGAAGTACCACACAGACATCATTAAACAGACACTGTCCAGAAAAATCATATTGTTTTGGCCTAGGCATAAAATATAGGTATTGTAATAATTGTTTAATTTCCATAGAGAATTTCAGCAGCTCCCTCTTCTTGGAATGAAATCAGAGCCATATGCTTTATGACATCAGAGGCATTTCAAGGTGTCTCCATAAATGTCATTTATTGCTTGGGAACCTGCCAAATCTGTGCAAAAATCCGTAGTTCTTTTAAAGGAAAAATCTTCAAATGAAACTAGAGCTTTACGCTGGTTATCATACAAAAAAAAATAAATAAATAAATCTATCCATTATGGAAATACTGGCCATGCAGGTGGCAAAACCTCTGGCAACCAAACCTGATGACCTGAGCTCTGGTTTGCTTTTGTGTCAATAGTGCCCCTCTTAACCAGTCTGCAGGGTTGACATTGCACATACACACCTTCCCTTGGAAGGCACTGACCCTTCTGAAAAATAAGCTTAAGCAGTCTGAGTGACAAAAAGCTGAATTGTTTTAGTGATCATGACTGTAAATCACAATCAGGTATATTTTAATGTAGAGCTCCAACTAATATGCTTTAATCCATAAAAAGTCGGTACCTCCCATGCTACTGTCACAGGCCTGATTGACCAGGATGCCCCATCCTGCCTGGGGCACAGTACCCCGCAGCACTGGGAGCTGGGCAAATCATAAAGAGATTCAAGGTCATATACACAAATACATCCTCATGCCACATCTTTTCCTAATTTGACATATCTGTCGTCTATTCTGGGATAATACTGACCAGACCTAAATATATCTTGTCAGACATACCACCAACCTGTCCAGCTCAAATCATCTACCTTTAAGAATGCAAAAATTTAATCCAATCTGCAGCTGCAAGCAGACAGAGCTGGTTAGTTGGCCACTGCCCAGAGGAAAAGACCACTGACACTGAGGTACACCACTACCACTAAGGTTAGGGTTTTTGCTAGCTGACAGGAGCATCCATTAACCCAATGTAACAGAGCTGTCCTGTTTTCTTAAAGGAAGTAAAAAAGGATTTATTTTTTTTTTCCCCTAAATCTGAAGGAAAGAAGTTGCTTGGTGCAGTTGGAAATAATCTAGGGCAGTACACCAACAGGTGCTTCAAACGTACTGACAAGAGTGCAGGAGATGTTGAGAGAGAAAATGAATAGACTCTCTAAATAATACATAAATTTTACAGGCTTTTTTTTTCTGTAGAACCCCAGTGAAGTTACTGTATAAATCGGAAACTGAATTATTCATAACTAGCGAATACATAATAAATCGTATTTCGCATTGAAATATTCCTCACAGGTACATGCCTCTTTCCATGCCATGAAAGGAATCAGGCAGCAAGCCTGAAAATGCCAAGGTCCTACCTGGAGTCTGGGTACTTTGTCAAGGTAGCCAGGCTGCTGGTGTACATGTGTCCTCCTACATCGATGTGCACAGGAGCGTTTGACTTGGTGAGTTGAGCTGGGAGAGGAATTCCTTGAGCAGCCAGAGGAGAAACCGGGGACCGTGTTAGAGACAGACGGGACATGCTTCTTCCCTCCTGCAAAGGAAAGGCAAAAAAGAACAGTTTCTCTTAAATGTAGCAGTGTGTTACCTTTCTTTACAGCGTGATCACAGATCTAATCAGATCATTTTTGCATCTGCCTGATCACATATTCAGCTAACAAATTATTGCCACCACTGTAATTAAGTGTATTTGCATCATTTTCTTCAAAGTACCAGAGGGGAAGTGAAAGATGCTTATTAGCAATAAGAAATCAAGAAAAAAAATTTTCAAGGTGTCAGCCTCAAGGGGCATAAAACAAACTGCAAAATTCTAATTAAAGGTCGTGGGCTTATATGTTAGATGTGAAATATCCCCTGACAAACGAATAACCAATTTGTGAATTGGGATTCAGGGGTTTTTGCAAGTTTGTCTCAGTAACGAGACACCTCTAAATTAGTGACTTCCTCAGTACCTAAGGCATTTAGTTTATACATGTAGTAAATTTCACATCAAACTAAGATCAATTTTCTGGTTTATCTTCAATAACTGTGAAATAAATGGATAATTTTGAGTTAAGCTTTAATATTAGACATAAAGAACTAATAAGCTTTCAAAGTGAAAGCAATTAATACCTGGAAGCAGTGAAAACAGGAACATAAATAAACTGACCGATGCTTTATGACAGGATGCATTAGAAATCAAAATCACTACAATCTGGCATGTGAAATTACAAACTCAACTCCACCTAATGTTTACTGCCCTAAAAATATTTGAAAACTAGTGAAATTTCTAAATTGAGTAAAAAAATCTCCACCTGACATACAAAGCAAAAAATACGGAGCTGTCTTAAAAATGAGCAGGACAACCACAGCAAAAGAAAATTCCTCAGTCCTCTTCTGTAAGAAAACCACAACTAATTTTGCATGAAACGTGTCTCAAAGCTGATTTTAGTTAAATCGGTATAGATGGCATACATGTCAAACTGAAAAAAACCTTTTATAAAACTTTAAGAAAATGTCCATCCGTTCTCCCTCTCATGGGTAAAGCAACATATGCAAAACATTATAGTTGAAGACATTTCTGAATATAATCTAATTTTCTTGGTATTTTGTTCTGCAAGCCTGCTACCAAGCATCCAGGCTCTTCCCAACATCTGACAAGCACTTTACATGCAGCATTGCAAAGAGAATTCCCATTTCTCTCACATTACTTTGACAGTGTTTCTTAGAAAACTAAAGCTGGTCTTGTCTATTAGCAGTATTTTGCACAAGATGCCTGGTACACCACTCAATGAACATACAATTAACAACATTCATTGTAAAAAAATAAAAAAAATAATTTAAAAAATTAAATTCTGAGCTACATAGAAAGGGATTGAAAAGTCTTAATACATCTGGACAGCTTCACAAAGTCATCACAACATCTCCATTTACTGTATTTCATCTTGGTTAGCTCCTAAGAATTTCCTGTATCTACAGCACAGAAATACATCACCCCATTATGAATCCACATCCTTTTCTCTTCAGAGGCTGGATGGACATCTGCACTGAACACGAAGCAAATACCAACTCTGTCCTAAGACTTCTGTGTCAGCCGATGCAAAATTGGGCATTAACATTTTTACTGCAGCACCACCTTCAAGGAAAGTGATTGAATCCTTTCATGACTGAAGATGTTGCTTTCTTGTTTCCCACAAGAGCCTGTTGTGGGCAATCTTCAGTAAATATGTCATATAAAATAAAGAACTAACTTTTAAAAACAACTTAGTCTGTAAGTACCTACAGTATTTTAGCAATGTGTTTACTAATCCATTGGTGCATCATCTGTCTGCCAACACAAAGGTTTTTGTTTTTTCTTCTTACCAAAGAGCACCGTAAACTCATGTTCACTCTCTACTCCTTCACTTAAATGAAAGGGTCAGAAGACCCAGGCTGAATGTCAACCCTTTGTTCAAACCCCAACTATTATCACTAATGATAAAGGTACAGACCTTGTATGGTACAGAGCTGCCTTAGAAATAAATCTCCTGCAGTTTCATAAAACAAGTGCCTAATTAGGGCTCATCTGCACCTCTTGTTACAATTTCCAAATGAAATCAAAGGACTCCAGTCCTCTGTAAAAGCATCTTACATTTAACCATTTGTCTTGAAATACAGACTTCAATTTTTAAATATGCACAGATAGCTAAAGATCAAGTGATCTGAATCTATCTGTGCATATTTAAACACTACCGCTATCTTAGGATTTTGTTTAATGTTAGTATACCAGTAAATTCCTTGATCTGTAAAGAGTCTGAGATTCTCAGTGAGGCCATACTCACACAGTAGATATTTAATTTATACTATTCACTGGAGGGACCTTTTGAACAATCCTCTGCTTTTGGCATCTCTCAGCTAGAGCATGAGCTGGAGAAACGCTTAATTATAGAAAATCACTGGAAAGCTAAAATAGTTCTCAAACTTTTATAGCTTTTTATACTTATTGAGGGTGCCACTGGCTCTTTGGGGGAGGGGAGGAGAAAGGGAATTAAAACAGGCTTTTCCCCTGGTTCGAGAGGATTCATTAAAAAATGAATCCTATGTTTTCATTAGAAGTTGTGGAATTCAATCATTTTCATATGAGCAAATTATCAAGGAGAATAATTGTTAAGCATTGCATAAATGGCACTGAAAATACTCCTACTGCTCAAAAAAAAATAAATACCTTCTATTTCTTAAGGTACTATAACCCTATTTCTAATGACTCCTTCCTCTTCATGTAAAACACAGCTAAAATTCATCACACTGAGTAATGTACTTATTTTATGCACAAAGCAAAATCCTAAATGTATTTATCCGGTGAAAGTCTTCACGCACATATTTTCTAACACTGATGTGAAAATTAAAACCTTAAGGGTGCCTATCGCAGAAATACTAACAAACTTCATTTATTAAACCATGTAAAATAATCCTTGCTCTTTGGTTGCCTACAACAGGATACAGCATCCCAACTAGTGGCACAGGCAACAACCCTGCTCTAATAAGTAACACAGGAACCTGCTGAAGGCAAAATCAATAGACCCCGTTTCCCAAATTATCTGAATATTTAGTTTTTCAAACATTACACACCAAGATCTTTCAGAGCCAGCTTATCTTTTTCTGCCTTTCTAAGCTAACTGCATAAGTACTGCTTGTAAAAACTATTTGCCCATGCAAAGTGAAATAATCACAATGCCATGCTCATTTACACACAAAATGATTTTGTGTCCCATTGTGCTCACAGTTGTTCAGCTCTCTAGGGGTGATTAAACTAGCTATGCTGCTACAGCTTGAGATGATTTCACTGAATCGTTTCTCCATGAAGTTGCTTCTTTGCTAAGCTGTTATTTTAACCATAAAAGGTAAACAGAAGGCAGTTGTAAGAGCTCCATTCAGCTCCGTGCCCAGGGCTATAACCCTAGGGCAGAGAATGCTGAAAGACTGCAGAATTTTCCAGGGTGTTGCCTTTCTTGCTCTAAAGCCTTCAGGAATACTGTTCATTTAATACACACTCTAGATGATACATTTCAGATCCTACTAAAAGAAAGACTTCAAAAGTGTTAAGAACTTTTGGGCGGATGAAGCTTTCCCACCTCTGCACATAGCTCGGGGCCATGGTAACCAATACTGCTGTTGATGTTGGGAAAATACAGTAGAAATAAACTGCACAGAGCAGAGCAGACAGATAGGGACAAGGGAGGTGAAAGGTTGCAGGAAAGGAACAGATAGCAGTCTAGAAGGGAGAAAGAAAAAAGGGAAAAGAATGAAAAAGGAGGCGGCTCTGAAGGAGGGACAAAGTTAAATCAAGGAGCAGACACTTAAAAGACTACAGATGGGAAGCAAGACTAATTAAGGATGTAAAAGCGCTTTGTTTCTAAAGTTTATTGTTGCCAGGATAAAAATTAATTGAAACTAATGCTGTTATTCACTCGTGCAGTTTAATTCCTTCATGCACATTTAAGACGAGAAATGAAAACGGCAGGGTTAACGAACTGCCATGAAGCAGCTGGAGCTCCCGGAGAGCCCGGGGGTGCGCCGCGCG